AAGATGGAGACCACTGTCTCGTTGGAGCGAATGACGCCCACAGAGACCAGCTGACGATATGCATGCACCACGACTGCAGAGGTGGGCTCGACAAACAGCCCCTGGGCTCCGAGTGCCTGGAGACCAGCTTCGATCTGCGCGTCCGTGACACTCACCAGACTGCCTCTTGTTGCTGCCACGACGCGCAAAATGTCCTTGCCCCGCATGGGGTTGGTGGCTGTGATGCCCTCGGCAAGAGTGGGAGCAGCAGCGTCCAGCGGCACCACGCGACACGATTCGGATGCGATTGCCGGTGCATCTGAAAACTGTGCAACGCTCGGTTCGGTCGTGCCACTGGTGTCACCATTATTGCCGTTGGCGAGCTGGATGCTCGTGAGCAATGGTGCACATGATGTTGATTGCACGCCATGGAGCCTTGGCATCGTGGCAATGACACCTGCGGCCAGAAGCTCTGAAAATCCGAGATGCAAGGCAAGAAAGATGGAGCCAAACCCGACAGGACACACGACATGACTGGGGGCTTGCCAGCCCAGCTGCTCGACAATCTCGAAGGCGACCGTCTTGCCGCCCTCCATGAAGAACGGGTTCCAGTTGTGTGATGCGTAGACCGTGTTTGCAGCGGCGCCAAAGACGGCAGTTGTCGTGTCTGCGCGCGTGCCGTTCACGAGCTGCAAGTGGGCTCGGTACATTTGAATCTGCGCCAGCTTTCCGACAGAAGTGGAGGCCGGACACAGAATGGTGCACTCCATCTGACCCGCGCGTGCAGCGTACGCCGCGATCGCACTGCCCGCGTTGCCCGACGAATCTTCGACCACTGCCTTCACGCCGAGCTCATTCAGCTTGGAGACGAGCACCGAAGCTCCGCGGTCCTTGTACGATCCCGTTGGCATGAGGTGGTCGAGCTTGTAGTAGTGCTTTGGACGTGCAGTGCCATGTTCACCATCATCATCTGTCGGAGTTGGGAGTGGGGTCGAGGCCGCCTTGTCAAGTACGAGCGGCGTCATGCCCTCGCCCAGCGACACGATCGTGGCATCTGACGCGTCCATGATCGGAATCGCCTCGCGGTAGCGCCACAGGTTGGCTGGGCGTTGTCGGATGAGCTCGATCGGGAAGAGCGCCGACTTGTCCGCGCCGTGCGGCTGCGTCTTGATCAGCGTGAACGGAGCGCCGTTGCACTGCGGGCCAGCATGGCAGCGGAAGACGAGCACGGGGTGTGTCTGGACGTCGCACGTGTAGCCACACTCGCGGCAATGGTACGCGACTGAAGCAAATCCCGACATATGTTGTGGTGGGTGCGGTGCGGCTTTTCGAAGATTCCGAGTGCGATCTACTGCAAAAGCGACTTTTTGTGACTGAGCTCACGAACGAACGAGTGATTCTTGACTTTTGCCTCGATGGTGTCATTGAGGTGGAAACAGACGCAGATTTACCAATCTGTGAATCGAATCTGAGCAAAAAGTCCATCCAGTCCAGTCTGTTTTTATTGTCTCTGAGATTCTTGCTGATTTCCTTCCATTTCACTCTTCTTTTTCTTTACTTTTTTCCATTCTGTTGCACATTCATTCACCATGGACGCTCTGCTTGGCAAT